TGCCCGATGGCACCGATGATAACAAGATGCCCTCACGATGGCCTTACGAAGGGCAAAATTGACACACGAATTCAACACGAAAATGAACCTTCGCAAGGTCCTTCGGCAATTTTTTGGCATGCCAAAGATTTTGCCACCGCTCACGAAGTTGCTGCCGGAGCCTGAGAAACTCCACGGCAGTCATACGATGGCTTAAGATGCCCTCACGAATGGCCCGATGTTGCTACGATCACAGCCGAATTTGAACATTTCCTTTATCGTGTGTCCATCGGGTTGTTTTATTGCACAACAAAATCATGTAAATATATTATGTAAATAACCCAATTTGTGTTCTGTGAAACTAAAAAGGATATAATATATTTTTGAAGGACAGTTGACAGGAAGTTGTTGTTGTTATGGAAACAACATTACGGAGAAAACGTAATATTTTCTACATATAAAGACGGATAAAGTAAAGAACAAAGTCTGAAGATATCAGTACAGTATCATAGTACTGTAACATAATTGTTTTTGGTACTTTCATTGCAGTTGTATGTCTTAAATGTAATGTAAATGTTGCCTTCGTGTGTGGTTCGGGGCCATCTTCGTGCGAAATTCACAATTCCATATTCGTGTGTCCATCGGGTGTCAATTTCGGGACAGTGTGACAGGGGCTTTAGGGAGAACAGTTCTTGTTTGTGATTGGACAGAGCCAGCCAGAGAAGCACTGCTGTGATTGGTTGTTTTTGCTGCCAGTCAAGAAATGACGCTTCGTGATTGGTCAACACCCGACAGCGAAATATGTCCCAACATCAGCCGTTAGCACACATTCAGAGCTCACAGCTCCTCATATCTGTTCAGAAACTGGACAAAAGTTAAACATGTACAAACCACAGACTGTCTGTGTCTTGGTGAATACAGTCGCTGCTTTATTTATGTCTGTATGACATTGTTGTGAGTGTGGACGGAGCAGCTACAGGTTAGTTTAGCCTGATGGATCCGATTCCATTCAGAAAACACGCATTTAATAAGCTTTTCGCCTGCCGTCTTATCTGCAGACTTGTCAAAGCGTTAATTCATGGTTTTTACTAACCGTTATCAGTATGTAGTTACTTCGGCATCACTTTGAAACGTGTATTACAATTAAATCACGGTCAAATATGTTCATTTTGTTGTAGTTGGTATCTCCCATAGGATTTACTTGGAGATACGCCCCGCCCCTGTCAGCGCCTCTTGTTTGAATGACAGGAGCAAACACAGCTGACAGCCGCGGTGAAACTCGAGCGATTAGAGCGATGCGAATATTGGGTGGTCTACCATAGTATTTACATGGAGATAAGCCCCTTAAAAACCATGAATTAATAAAGCATTAATTCTGTGTTTACTCCTGTCATTCAAACAAGACGCTGGAGAGGGGGCGGGCCGTATCTCCATGTAAATCCTATTGGAATCGGATCGATCAGGCTAAACTAACCTGTAGCTGCTCCGTCCACACTCACAACAACGTCATACAGACATAAATAAAGCAGCGACTGTATTCACCATGACATAGACAGTCTGTGTTTTGTATATGTTGAACTTTTGTCCAGTTTCTGAACAGATATGAGGAGCTGTGAGCTCTGAGTGTGTGCTAGCAGCTAACGGCTGATGTGTTGGGCCAATCACGAAGCGTCATTTCTTGACTGGCAGCAAAAACAACCAATCACAGCAGTGCTTCTATGGCTGGCTCTGTCCAATCACAAACAAGAAGTGTTCTCCCTAAAGGAATACCCTTTCCGTCCAATGTGAAATGCTGTGGTGTTTTCTGAAATGCTGTAGTGTTTTGTGAAATGCTGTGGTGTTTTCTGAAATGCTGTTGTGTTTTGTGAAATGCTGTAGTGTCTTGCACTTCAGGGCCACCGTACAATTAATTGTCATAAACCTTTAAAATAGTAAAGTTAGCTTTAGCATCTCCATCTAAGCCTGATGTTTCCCTCGGATGTTGTTGAGGCTAAAAAGTTGTCAGAGCCATGTGAAGCTCTAGGTCTCTTTTTACCTTTATGTATCATCTATCAACCCAGCAGATCTATCCTGTGCCTCCATTGATTGATCCTAGCCCCGGGTCATGAAAGGAGCGTCCACGTCGCGGCCCTGGGAGTATTGACGAGATCGACAAGATCAACTAGATCGACTAGATACTGCTAATCCTATCACCACTACAAGCAACAGTTACAAGCTATAAAACAGCCACAAGCTACGCTACAAGCCACAAGCTACGCTAGCCGCAAGCTAGTCTGCACAAGCTACGCTACAAGCTACGCTGTAAGCTGTAAGTAAGCCACAGAACACCAAGAGAAAACATCATGCCTGGATATAGACACAAAGGACGATGCCGTAAACGAGGGACCCCCTCAAGACCGGTGTTGTGTCACATTATGCCTCCCCGTCATGAAATGCCCCCCTTGTCACGGGAACGCGCATTTCTAAATGACACGTTTCACCTCTAAATGACACGTTAACACCATAGGTTTACACCTTAAAACGTTTTAAAAAAAAGTAAACGTTCAGGGTTTTTATTAATGGTAATTTTCAGACTGTGAGTTGTTTAGTGGTAGCTCATAGTCTTGATTCTTCTGGTTTAACTTTTCGCTCCGTATTTGAGGTGTCGAAATTCGTTCGTCACTTCCTTTTCAGTTTGTTTTTTTAAATGTTTTTTTTTATCATTATTGTTACGTCCTGTCTGTATAAACGTGCTTTAAAATGTATTGTTTAATTTTACATAGTTGTCATCTAATAATCTAAATATGTTTACAAATGTTACATAGTCTTTGTCAGCATATATGCTATGCGTACAAAATAAAAGTGTGACATTCATGAAACTTGCTCCATTTATTGGTATCAGTCCTAGAACCATACCCTGAAAAATGCTTGAGGGTGGGATTCATAGAAACCTCTTTTGGTGGGGGGGGGCATTATATGACAGGCCTGGCCATCACAATATGCCCCCCCTTGCTATCTTACAAAATAAAAGTGTCACATTCATGAAACTTGCTCCATTTATTGGTACCAGTCCTAGAACCATACCCTGAAAAATGCTTGAGGGTGGGATTCATAGAAACCTCTTTGGTGGGGGGGGGAATTATATGACAGGCCTGGCCATCACAATATGCCCCCCTTGCTATCTTACAAAAATAAAAGTGTCACATTCATGAAACATTGCTCCATTTATTGTTACCAGTCCTAGAACATACCCTGAAAAAATGCTTGAGGGTGGGATTTCATAGAAACCTCTTTGGTGGGGGGGGGCATTTATGACAGGCCTGGCCATCACAATATGCCCCCCCTTGCTATCTTACAAAATAAAAGTGTCACATTCATGAAACTTGCTCCATTTATTGGTACCAGTCCTAGAACCATACCCTGAAAAATGCTTGAGGGTGGGATTCATAGAAACCTCTTTTGGTGGGGGGGGGGATTATATGACAGGCCTGGCCATCACAATATGCCCCCCCTTGCTATCTTACAAAATAAAAGTGTCACATTCATGAAACTTGCTCCATTTATTGGTACCAGTCCTAGAACCATACCCTGAAAAATGCTTGAGGGTGGGATTCATAGAAACCTCTTTTGGTGGGGGGGGGAATTATAGACAGGCCTGGCCATCACAATATGCCCCCCCTTGCTATCTTACAAAATAAAAGTGTCACATTCATGAAACTTGCTCCATTTATTGGTACCAGTCCTAGAACCATACCCTGAAAAATGCTTGAGGGTGGGATTCATAAACCTCTTTTGGTGGGGGGGGGGGCATTATGACAGGCCTGCCATCACAATATGCCCCCCCTTGCTATCTTACAAAATAAAGTGTCACATTCATGAAACTTGCTCCATTTATTGGTACCAGTCCTAGAACCATACCCTGAAAAATGCTTGAGGGTGGGATTCATAAAACCTCTTTTGGGGGGGGGGGGCATTTTATGACAGGCCTGGCCATCACAATATGCCCCCCCTTGCTATCTTACAAAATAAAAGTGTCACATTCATGAAACTTGCTCCATTTATTGGTACCAGTCCTAGAACCATACCCTGAAAAATGCTTGAGGGTGGGATTCATATAAACCTCTTTTGGTGGGGGGGGGGCATTATATGACAGGCCTGGCCATCACAATATGCCCCCCCTTGCTATCTTACAAAATAAAAGTGTCACATTCATGAAACTTGCTCCATTTATTGGTACCAGTCCTAGAACCATACCCTGAAAAATGCTTGAGGGTGGGATTCATAGAAACCTCTTTTGGTGGGGGGGGCATTATATGACAGGCCTGGCCATCACAATATGCCCCCCCTTGCTATCTTACAAAATAAAAGTGTCACATTCATGAAACTTGCTCCATTTATTGGTACCAGTCCTAGAACCATACCCTGAAAAATGCTTGAGGGTGGGATTCATATAAACCTCTTTTGGTGGGGGGGGCATTATATGACAGGCCTGGCCATCACAATATGCCCCCCCTTGCTATCTTACAAAATAAAAGTGTCACATTCATGAAACTTGCTCCATTTATTGGTACCAGTCCTAGAACCATACCCTGAAAAATGCTTGAGGGTGGGATTCATAGAAACCTCTTTTGGTGGGGGGGGCATTATATGACAGGCCTGGCCATCACAATATGCCCCCCCTTGCTATCTTACAAAATAAAAGTGTCACATTCATGAAACTTGCTCCATTTATTGGTACCAGTCCTAGAACCATACCCTGAAAAATGCTTGAGGGTGGGATTCATATAAACCTCTTTTGGTGGGGGGGGCATTATATGACAGGCCTGGCCATCACAATATGCCCCCCCTTGCTATCTTACAAAATAAAAGTGTCACATTCATGAAACTTGCTCCATTTATTGGTACCAGTCCTAGAACCATACCCTGAAAAATGCTTGAGGGTGGGATTCATAGAAACCTCTTTTGGTGGGGGGGGGCATTATATGACAGGCCTGGCCATCACAATATGCCCCCCCTTGCTATCTTACAAAATAAAAGTGTGACATTCATGAAACTTGCTCCATTTATTGGTACCAGTCCTAGAACCATACCCAGAAAAATCAACCAGCGCAATGACGGTCAAGCAGCTGTTATTGACAGCTACGCTATGACCGCCATCTGGAAACACACATTTGGAAGAATCCGGGTATGTACATGATTGGAATAACTTTGCTTTTGTAAATGTTGCAAATGTGCATTTTTCAAGGAATGTATACTTGTGCAACTACTCTCAGGTTGATCCAATGGCACACAGTCATCGTGGGAATTGTGAACGAGAACCATCATTGGATGTTGGTGGTGAGAATAGGAGCATATTTTAAGCTCCAATCTGTATCTAGTGCTGTATACACCATATATAATTAGTGATTTGCAAGATAACCGGGCCACACATACATGCTGTCACTTATTATTGATCAAATCTAAACAATACCCTACATCGTACCTGCGTAATGTATGGTTCCTGCCTAATGCATGTTGTGTTTCCATGTGAATAATAAAAGGTAATGTACCCCCATGAGAAGAAAACCCTCTTCTTGGATCCACTTGGAGAAGGGAAAGGCAAAACAAAGGTGTGCCTGCAGTCTACAAGGTACATTTGATACAGTGTACTAGTTCCGGTGTTTTATGAGTATTTTGACAATGATGTGCTGCATCTTGACACATGTATACATACTGTAGAGCCTTTATGAGGATGAAAGGCTGCAAGGTGTCAAGATGGACATGCAGCACCCTCCCCCATAATCGCCAACAAGACAGCACATCCTGTGGTGTCCTGGCCTTAAAAGTGAGTGTGAAATGCATTTAGCCAAACATTACTCTCAAACTCAAATTCAGTAGCAATTAGACTGAATATCTTGACTTGCTTTTATACATCTTGATCAAAGATGTATTGAATTGTGTCAAACTACACATATACAACATGTCATTCTTTAAATCTGTTGGGTAATTTGTCTGTATTCCATTTGAGGGTAAAATCATAGACCATGCAGTCCATATACTAATCAAGGTTCTCTTCAGTTTGCAGAGAAGATTTTACTGGGGGAGTCAATTGAGTTTGAAAGCTCACAGAAGGCAGTGCACGAGCTGAGGCTGGACATTGCTACTTCTCTCCTCAGAGAATCTGGTTTTTACCTTTTCTCAACATTGTCAATGACTTCATGTAGTTACTTTTATTAATTGTATCTCATAAGTATGCATCAATAACCTAGTATATTAATAATGTGCCATGCAAATTGTTGTATTGTATCACTGCTTGGACCATTGGTACTGTTGACCAGGGACATTATCAGGGTTTTAAAAGCAACACAGTGGCTTAAGTATAGATTAGGGTAAATAGTCACTACATACAGTATATTGTGTATCTCAACTCCAAACAGATAACATATGAAGCATCGCAGGGCAGGCATCTTCAACTGCAATTTCATATAGGCTACACACGTCCACACTCTAACACACCCTTTCAATTCTGCGGTTTATTTAAGATGTGAGATTTCCCCATCTTCCTCCTTTCAATGTGCTCATTGTGTGTATTACTTTTAACTGATATCCTCAGTTAATTTTTACCTTGAATTTATTATAATCTAAGCTGTAAAGCTAATGTGATGAACAACAAAAGAACCATTAGAACCAAACTTAAATTGATGCGTACAGTGCGAAAGAAGTTTTTGGATGTTTTGTAATGACATTGTGCAGGTTCCCATTCTAAAGAGGGTAAGGAGAGAGTGAAAGAAGGCAGCAGATGGCTCCTCTGTGCTCAGATTTAATCATTTAGAAAATCTATGTGTTTGTGTGTGTTTTGCCTTTTCTTCACACAAAATAATAAAAGACCACAACAAATGTGTCCTTATATAATTGACCTTTTAGTCAAAAATTGGAATGGGTCACCTTGACCCCAAATCTGTAATGTGGTTTATCTGAAGATATTGATTACGTTTTTGTCTCAACAGATGATCTAAGCAGGCTTTGCTTTTACTGCGGGATGGAGGAGCAGGATGAAGAAACATTGGGTAATTTCCTATTGCACATTACAAATAAAGAAATTAGCAGAAATATGTTTCCAGACTTTATCAACATAACATTTGCGTTGGTAATTGCTACTATATTTGGCATCTTCAGCATTAACTGATAAAGGATTAATGTTTTGCTTGTTTTTCCATACATTTTTGTTGAAAATGTATTTCTTTCTCATAACACAACATTTATGTTTTTGAAAGATTTCGATTATTGAAGGAATGGTTAGAATGTTAGTGGGAAATACATTAGAGATATTCTATTATCATAACAAAAATCCCATAATGCATACCTTACATAACAAGTATTTATTGTTTTCTCAGATTTGCTGTGACATTTGTCAGCAGTGGTTACCACCACCAATGTGTACAAAGGCCGCCAGTTGATCAACCGTACTTGTGCCCTGGATGCACATAATGCCCCGAAGGAACCATCATTAACTGTCCACTGTCATTTCAACCAATGCAAACTATTGTTTGGCCTGTCATAAAATGCCCCCCCCCACCAAAAGAGGTTTCTATGAATCCCCACCCTCAAGCATTTTCAGGGTATGGTTCTAGGACTAGTACCAATAAATGGAGCAGTTTCATGATGTGACACTTTTATTTTTTGTAAGATAGCCAGGGGGGGGCATATTGTGATGGCCAGGCCTGTCATAAAATTCCCCCCCCCACCAAAAGAGGTTTTGTGAATCCCACCCTCAAGCATTTTCAGGTATGGTTCTAAGGACTGGTACCAATAATGGAGGCAAGTTTCATGAATGTGACACTTTTATTTTGTAAGATAGCAAGGGGGGCATATTGTGATGGCCAGGCCTGTCATATAATGCCCCCCCCACCAAAAGAGGTTTCTAGAATCCCACCCTCAAGCATTTTTTCAGGGTATGGTTCTAGGACTGATACCAATAAATGGAGCAAGTTTCATATGAATGTGAACACTTTTATTTTGTAAGATAGCAAGGGGGGGCATATTGTGATGGCCAGGCCTGTCATATAATGCCCCCCCCCCCACCCAAAAGAGGTTTCTATGAATCCCACCCTCAAGCATTTTTCAGGGTATGGTTCTAGGACTGATACCAATAAATGGAGCAAGTTTCATGAATGTCACACTTTTATTTTGTACGCATAGCATATATGCTGACAAAGACTATGTAACATTTGTAAACATATTTTGATTATTAGATGACAACTATGTAAAATTAAACAATACCATTTTAAAGCACGTTTATACAGACAGGACGTAACAATAATGATAAAAAAAAAACATTTAAAAAAACAAACTGAAAAGGAAGTGACGAACGAATTTCGACACCTCAAATACGGAGCGAAAAGTTAAACCAGAAGAATCAAGACTATGAGCTACCACTAAACAACTCACAGTCTGAAAATTACCATTAATAAAAACCCTGAACGTTTACTTTTCGTTTTAAACAACGTTTTAAGGTGTAAACCTATGGTGTAAACGTGTCATTTAGAGGTGTAAACGTGTCATTGAGAAATGCGCGTTCCCGTGACAAAGGGGGGCATTTCATGACGGGGGAGCATAATGTGACACACACAACCGGCATTGAATCTGTGGCAATGTGTTCAGCTGTGGCTGAACCACATCTAACCAAGCCCTGTAACTGACTGCCTTGTGGACAACGATAAGAAGAAGAGCCCCCGGGTGGGGGACTATTGAGCTATAATCGCAAATATTATATATATATATATATATATATATATATATATATTGTTTTGATTTGTCTCAAAATAATCTATTTCTAAATAAAACAACACTTATTGTGTGTTCACACAATGTCACATGCAAGGCAAAGATAGACAGAAATGTGTATGGAAAGCCGACAGAGGTTGAAGTTAAATTACAGTTTTTTGTTTAAGTTGTTAAACGCTGCTTTGTACAATGCTTTCTTTACGTTAGCTAATAACGCTGAGTCGCCCCCCTGTACCGCAAACAGTTCACAGGAATGCTCACAAAATTACTTGCAGGTTTTTTTTTAATTTTTATTTCATTATTACATTATTGTCTAATTGTAACTGATGTATTGTTTCTTGGGGTTGTTTTGTTAGCAATCACAGGGTAAATGTAATGTATTGTATGCTGCTGTCTTTGTGTATTGAAAATCTCAAAAATAAATCATATATATATAAAAAAAAAAAGTTAGCTAATAATGAATGTAACCAATCAGTGAACAGTAAAGCCAAAACAAAGTAATGCAAGTTCCGGCTGTAGATCTGTGGTGCTCTGCAGTGTTCCACAGGATTATATATCAATTTGCCACTGAAGACTCTCACCTTCATCTTCATTATCTTTAGATACAACACCTGTGTTACAACTGCCCTCATTGTCGTTTCAAATAAACTGTGTTGGATTGTTGTAGAAATATAACTGTATGGCTCACATATATTAGCATAGCTGAAATTGTTTGTATTCATTATACAATGTTGGAGAATTGTACAATTTAAAAAGGAATCTAATGGAATAGTAAATAAAGTTGCTGCTTTATTTATGTCACACGACACAACGATTCTCACCATCTGGGACTTTCACATCATGCACAGAGCAGCAATAGTGGTTATTTCAGCCATTGTTGGTGTCTACATAGATATAAGATATCCTCGTATGATAGTCTAACTTGTGGGAATAGCATGAGGCGAAAAATGGCTTTGAACGCACCACCATGTAGGGAACATTTTACTTTTATTGTCTGCAAACTACATTCTAATAGTCATACCAACTATATGTATTGGTCAGAATTGTAAATATAGTATACTTTGAATTGTAATGGAGTATTTTTATCATGTTGTATTGCTTTTATTTTGGTGAGAAATCTGAGTACCCTCTTTGTTAGAGTTTATTGAAGGATAAAAGTGTTTTCATAAATGTGTTTTCATAACTGTGGTTTTCATAAAATGTGTTAATGGAGGAACAGAGAATAGTCTGTTCCGTGAACCATACACACACACACACACACACACACACACACACACACACACACACACACACACACCACACACACACACACACACACACACACACACACACACACACACACACACACCCACATGACTGAGAGTCACAAGATTCACACTAACAAATAAGGTGTTGGTCAACACCACATGATTGTCATGTTACTGTATTGTTGAAATAAAAAGAATGCACTGAGAGAAGGCGAGTAGAGTTGGTTAAGGAGTGGACATTGCATGTCACTCGCTGATTCTCCTTGCAGCAAGTAAACTTGAAACTCGAGTACTGTTATCTTTGTTCACTGGGTTCTGGTTATTGAACCGAGCTGGGGTTTTACCCTTACAAAGTAATATAGAAATACCCCACATTAATTGGTCCTTCGGAGCCGGATTCCAATACATCGTGACGGGAAGGAGGAGGGAAATGACACGCCGCAAGTCTGTCGACAGCCGGGATCATCAGCCGACCCCGAGAAAGACCCGGGACGCAGAATTCGTGGCCGGGCCGGTGCTTATATGTCCAACCTCCCTCATCCTAGGCACGATTGACGGTTGATATATATACAAAAAGTTGATATACACGGTTACTCCGCCATTTAAGGAGGTTGATAAAAAAGTTGATATACACGGTTACTCCGCCATTAAGGGAGGTTGATAAAACATTGATATACACGGTTACCTCCGCCATTAAGGAGGTTGATAAAACGTTGATAGAGAAAGGCTACTCCGCATTAAGGAGGTTGATAAAACGTTGATAGAGAAAGGCTACTCCGCCATTAAGGAGGTTGATAAAACGTTGATAGAGAAAGGCTACTCCGCCTAGGAGGAGGATCGACGTGCCTTTGGGTACACTTATGAGTGATTGAGTGAAAGCAGTGTGTAAAAGTGTCACCAGTGGAATCAGCGCACAGAGTGGAAACCTAACGGTGATAACACAAACTCTGTGGTCTGTTGAAGTACACTAGTGGTGAATTAGGAATTAGGTTCTGACCGGCACGTTGTCCAGTAGGAACACCAAGCTAGAATCATGGTGGTCCGATGGGAGTAAGCCTGCCCGCTACAGGGGACATGAGATATATGGAAATATATAGTCATGGCAGCACCAGTTATTGTAGCAAATGGTATAAACTGTACGGCTTTCCGAGGAAAGTTGGAGAAAACAGCAGTAAGAGAATTAAGCGACAAATTGAGAGCAGCAACAGCTGGAACAACACAAGGCAAGAAAAGAAAGAAGTTAGAAGCTCAACTGCGGGTTGCAGCTTTATGGGCTGAACAAGCCCATAAAAGGACAGGTGGAGCAGAAGAAGGTATGATAGCAGCGGCTGTTTCAGTGAAAGCAGACGAGGAGATAGGGCGTTCAGGGTCAGTTGACGCTGTACGCCGCGAGAAAGAGAGAGCGATAGTGGAAGAACACAAAGCGCAGGAACAAAGAATAAAAAGGAAGCAAGAGAAAGAGGTATTCCAGATCAAAGAAAAAAGACATAAGAAAGCGTCAGCATCAGCTTTCTTCATAGGAGAAGAAGGGGAAGAAAATCAGATTTTCTTTGTGGGACCAGGACAGGGGAGAGGCGGGTTTAACAGAGGACGAGGGAATGGTAGAGGAACAGGCAGAGGCAGAGGATGAGGCAGAAATGCAGAAGGCAAATTCCTCTGCTACAGGTGCGGAAAGGAGGGGCACATGGCGAGGGACTGTGAGGAACAGAGACCACAGAACAAAGAAGGGGGACAAAAGGGACAGTACAAAGACGAAAGACATGGCCCCCCCCTTCACATAACCTACATAGTTATGACAACTGACTAGACGTAGAAAAGGAAGAAGAGGACGTCCACACACATCACATTGACCTTTCTGAAGTATTACTGAATCTGTCAGACAACAGTATTAAACCTACCAGGACAATCGAAATCAATGGGGAACAATTAGAATTCTTATGTGACAGCGGTGCAGACTCATCAGTAGTGAACAAAGAGGTCCAAATAATGTGGCCACCAACTGGCACTATGTTTGTAAAATCAGCAAATG